TGTGAGGCCCATTTAAAAAGAAGCGTTGAGACATTCTGGAAACCCGATGGGACATGGATTCTGCCAGAGCGCCTGTAGCACAGTTGCCTTTGGTTTCCTTGAAAAATGTACAAATATTGTATAATACAGTTTGTCCCTCCACAATTGTATTCGCCAAGCTTAGTGCATTAAAGTACTTTTATTTATTTGTTTGGGGCAGTATTAATATATATAAACATGTAGTTACTGTTTTATATATTCTGAGCTCATTCAGAGCCATGTATGCTGTAAATGTGCTCGTCTTTAGAATGACAAATAATAAATAACTGACAACAGTAAACTTGGCCTCACCTGATTCATTCTGTTACGTTAGAAGGGCTCGTTCCGTGGCTGGCACCTGACTGGACCATCATTAATGGGCACTGCGTTGAGCGCTCGGGGCTTTGTACACATGGGACTGAGAGAGATTTCTGTTTTATAACCTTGTTTCCACTTCATTTGAAGTGGAGGGGCAGCAGGGTGTGGGATTAAGAGCAGGGACTTCAGCTTCAGACAGACCCACCTCCCACTCCCATTTTGCCACTCACTAGCTGGTGACTCTGGGCAAGTTGTGTGCCCTCTCTGAACCTCCATTTCCTCATGTGCAAAGTATAGACTCAATGGTATAGTCATCTTAAGGCAGTTGTGAGCTGTCTTGGCATTAAACGTTCATAAAATGTTAGCTGTTGTTACTTGCCCACGTCCATAAATACGGGTCACGTCTTCTCCGCACCGTTGCCTGGTTGTCTGTTGTGTGACTTGTTAAATGTGGTTCCGTGAGTGATGAGTGACTGTTGTAACAGGACTGCATCCTGCACCTTTGCACCTTTTCTAGGCACTTGTACCCAATGATTTCCTTTGGATAAATTCTTGGCAGTAGAAATGTACAATTAAAGGATAATTTAAATGTTTTAAAATTTTTAAACTTTTACTATTACCAAAGTTCCCCCAGAAAGGGCACCGGTAGCATGTGCCTTTTCCCTTCATTCTCGTTGATGCTGGAAATGGCACCTTGTTTCAATTTCTGTTCATTTGATTCCTGTGAAAACTGAACATCTTTTATACTTTTACTGATATTTCTACTTTTGTGACCTCATTGGAATGTTGGTCTTTTCCATATGGATTGATTTTAATAGATAATATAATAACCCCTTTTCATATGTTGCAGGTTTTTTTAAAACCATTTGTCGGTTGTCTTTTTTTTTTATGGCGGGGGTATAGACAAGTTTTAAATTTTTATCTAGTTAAATACATTGGTCTTTTTCTTTTTGATGCTTGTTCTGAAATCATGTCCTGGCTTAACCACTGAAGGTGACACAGCTGGGGCACCCCGTCCTTGCCCATGAAATGGGCCCACGTGGTGCTGTGAACTCGAGGAGGGACGGCACTAGCCTGTGCCAGCCTGGGTAGAACGCCCCCTCCCCATTCTGTGCTAAGATTTGGCAGATAGGTCATAACTTTGTCTTCTTTTTATTAGAGCTGTCACTACGCAGGCTATGACACAGATTGCTGAGGGTGTAGGAGCAGAATATCTACACTTCAAATTCCCCCTGGGACCCTTCTGGCCTCAGCACTATTTGTAGTGATTCCTGCCTGTGCAAGGCTTGCAGTGGGCCTTTTCAGCCAGGCCAGGCAGTCAGCATTCAAATACAGACCGTTATGGTGCTATCACTCTCTGTTGTACCACTTAACAGACAAAGAAAAGCTGAGACAGGTTAGAGAGGATGGGAAACTTGCTTGTTTCCACAGCTAGGAAGAAGATACCTAGGTTAGAGAGATGGATGTGGAAAGACAGAGCACTTCATTGCTTCCTCCTCCTTGCCATTTGCCTCTCCCTTGGCTTCTGTGGACTCACTCACTGTCCTGGTTGTCCCACCTCGACCATCCCTCCTCACTCTGATTTGCTTGTTGTCCTCCACCCACCACTACATTGTGGTGTGCCGCAGGTTTCCGCCCATAACTTTCTTCTATCTCACTTTGGATGCTCTTCCTGAAAAGTCTTAGCCAGCCATTCCTATGGAATAAATTACCACTTATTTGCTAATGACTCCAAAATTTCTAGGTCCATCTCAGACTCTCTCTAGGTTCAGAACCATCTGTACATCCAACCACATCCTAGTCATTCTACTTGAGTGTCTGAGGGTATCTCAAATGCAGCATGTCAACACCAAACTCATGCAATCCCTCCTCCAAGCTGGCTGAGCCCTCTTCTGATAAGTGACCCTGGGGTCCACCCTGGGCTCATCTTCTCCCTTCCCCTCCGTATCCCATCGGCCACTGAGATCTGTACCTCTTCAGAATCTCTTTAACACATCCCATGATTCCATCCACACACTCACAGCCTGGTCTGTGTCTCCTCTGATCTGGACCACCACCCCTCGGCCTTCTCGTTCCTCCTTCAAGGTCCGTCTCAGTCATGCCCTCCTCTATGGAAATTTCTCTCCACAGAGTGAGTTGGCCTTTTTAAAAAAATATTTTCCCACATTCAGTTTGGAATATATGACTGTTATGTGTATCCTGTCTATCACGTTACCTTTTACTCTATCCAGCATGTTGTTACTTTGTGTTCACAGCAGCAACTGTAATGCTTGTCACAAAGGAGCTACTCAGAAAAGTTTATTGAATGAAAAGATGAATAAATGATTGTTTTTTGGTGTTCATTTGAAATCTTTCCTATTTCAGCACTAGACCTTGTTGCTTTTCTCTATATATAATCCTTTATTCTAAACACATCACAAGGATCCAAATTCAAGAGGCTCAAGGGAGAAGGCAACTGTAGGAGCAGAGTGTTGCCAACACCAGGACAATGGTTTTCTCTCAGGGGCAAGCAGGAGGGTCTCTGAGGAAAATCAGGCATAGCAGGGGGTTTGTACAATGTTCTGTTGATCTGAATGGTAGTTACAGGATGATTTATAGTTGTTTGTTAACATGATACAAACTTCCTATGTACTTTTCTGTACGTCTGCTACATTTAACAATAAAATGTTAACCTATCATTCAATGAACAATCTGAAAAGAAAATTAAGAAAACAATTCCATTTCCAATAGCATAAAAAAGAATAAGATACTTAGGAATAAACCTAACCAAGGAGGCAAAAGTCTTGTATGTTGAAAACTACAGAATGTTCCTGAAAGTAAAGACGAACAATTAACGGAAAGACATCCTGTGTAAATGAGTTGGAAGACTTCATATTATTAAGATGCCAGTGTATCCAAAGTGATCTGCCAATTCAATATGTTCCCTATCAAAATCCCAATCGTGTTTTTTTGCATAAATAGAAAAATCCATCCTAAAATTCATATGGACTCTCAAGGGTCCCTGAATAGCCAACACAATCTTGAAAAAGAACAAAGTTGGAGGTCTCACACTTCCTGATTTCAAAAGTTATTACAAAGCTACAGTAATCAAAACAGTGTGGCACTGGCTTAAAGACCAACGCAATAGAATAAAGGGCCCAGAAATACACACCAGCACACATGGTCGAATGATTTTTGACAAGAGTGCCAAGGCCATTCAGTTGAGGAAAGGACAGTCTTTTCAACAAATGATTCTGGGAAAACTGGATATCCACATGCAAAAGAATGAAGCTTTATCTTACACCACATACAAAATCAACTCAAACTACATCAAAGACCTAAATGTAAGAACTAAAACTATACAGCTCCTAGAAGAAAGCTTAAGGGAAGAGTTGCATCGGCGTGGACAGTGACGATCCAAAAGTACAGGTAACACAAGTCAAACAGATAAACTGGACTGCAAGAAAATGTAAAACTGCATCAAGGAACACAATCAACAGGGTGAAAAGAAATGCGAGAAAATATTGGCAAATCTTATTATCTGGTAGGGGCTTAATATCTAGAGTATACAAAGAAATCCTAGAACTCAACAACAAAAGAGCAAACAACCCTATTTAAAAATGGGCAAAGTACTTGAATAGACATTTCTCCAAAGAAGGTGTACAAATGGCCAACAAATGCATGAAATGAGGAAATGATGCTCCACATCAGAAGAATGGTGGCTGCCAGGCGGTGGGGGGACAGGGTAACAGCGAGTCGTTTAAGAGAGTTATAGTTTTGTAGACTATCATTTGTAGACTGTAGTTTGTTTAATAGAGCTATAGTTTTATAGAGTTCAGTTTTGCAAGATGGAGAGAGTTCTGGAGACCGGTTGCATAACAAGGTACTTAACACTACTGAACTATATACTTAAAAATGGTTAAGACAGTAAATTTTACATTGTATTTTACAACTACAAATTTTAAATATATAGTTACTAATAAAGGTATCAAGTTATTTTTTTAAATGGATCATAGACATACATGTAAGCTAACACTATAAAATTCTTACATGAAAACATAGGAATAAATTTCCAGAAGCTTGGATTAGGCAATGGTTTTCTTAGGTACATCAAAACAAAGAAAAAATAGATAAACTGGAATTCATCAAAATTAAAAATTGTGCTTCAAAAGGCAGCATCAAGAAAGTGAAGACGGGCCGGTCCCGTGGCTGAGTGGTTAAGTTCCCGTGCTCCGCTTCGGCGGCCCAAGGTTTTGCCAGTTCGGATCCTGGGCGTGGACATGGCACCGCTCATCAGGCCACACTAAGGTGGCGTCCCACATGCCACAACTAGAAGGACCCACAACTGAAATATACAACTATGTACTGGGGGAGAATTTGGGGGGAAAAAAAAAGAACTAAACAGGACAGACTGAATAAAAGAAAGTTTTATTCTAAACTTTCCCAATAGACATTTTCTCCCCAGGCTCCAGGTTATTGATTTTAACATTCCCATCAGTGGCCTTCATAATATTCACAAAGGATGTACAAACTGTGTCATTTGGTTGAGGAGTCAAGTTTGAAAATAACCATCTTTCCATTCTTTGTGCTTTAGAACAATTCTTAAAACACATTATGCTCCTAGCTCATAAGTGTTCAATTAAGAATTTTTTCTAAAAATAACTTAGAGCAAGAAAATCACTTACTTTATACATATTCAAAAACAGAACCCATCGTTTTCTCCGGTGTTCCAGGGAGGGAAAAACTGGTCCAACCCAACAGATGTAGCAAAAAGTATGTTTCCTATTTTGGCTTCTCTGTTTAAATGAAGAGAAAATCCTTTGTTGATTTCATCTTGGTTTGAACATAATAGCATCAATATCCTTTTCTTCCTCTGAATCTTGATCTGGCATCCAACTAAAAATAAATGAAGAATTGAATCAGATTTTGTTAACATAATTAAATAAACACAACTTTGGTAAGGGGTGTCACTACATGAGAGAAATAAAACAGTTTCCAGCGCAATCAAAAAGTCAATTGTCAGAGCCAGCCCTGACGGCCTAGTGGTTAAAGTTCAGCACTCTCACTGCTTCAGAAGCCCAGGTTCACATTCCGGTCAGAGAACCACACCGCCTGTCTGTCAGCTGCCATGCTGTGGCAGTGGCTCACACAGAACTAGAATGACTTATAACTAGGATATACAACCATGTACTGGGGCTTTAGGGAGACCAAAAAAAGGAGCTAACAGATGTCAGCTCAGGGTGAATCTTTCCCTGCAAAAAAAAAAAAAAAATCTAAAGCTCCTTGCCATTTGCCTTCAAGGGAGCTAGTAATTAAAAAAAAAAAAAAAAGGCAATTGTCACAGCTACCAAAAAAACCGAAAATAATAAAGATGGCATTAAAAACAGAAGTTCCATTAAGGTCACAATAAGGATTTTCTTCTCAAGTAGTATCCAACTTACATTTATCTTTTTCTCTGAACTACACTCAATGTACGTTCTTGCAAACAACTTTCTAATTAAGTTTTGTGTGGGTTAACATTTAAATGTATTTGAAATCCTTAAATAGCAACTGAAAAAAGAAGAGAGAGCCCTGAAAAATGTTAAGTGACGCATAGCCATTTGGGAATTAAAAGTCCTTAAATTACCTACTTATAGGATGACAGCGTGTTCTTTGACTTAAGCCTCACAGTGAGGGCGCCTCCTAAGGGTAGTGCCATAGAGTGGAGGGTCCTAATGTCAGTATATAAGGCAAAACTGCACAGAGTCAATATCACTCCCTAGAAATTCTACAGGAAGGAGATAGATTATTTGGATAGGTTATTAATAATAGATATTATATCTATTTATATGTCATTATTAATAATAGAGTATTTTGGAGATAGACGCTATTAATGAGTCTAACACACCCAGTGTAGGACAGACACCCATTTCTCCGATCACTACACGAAGTAGCTAAAAGTATATTTTCAAAAAATTAATAATCTTTAAACACAGGCATCATAATCAGGATGATGAGATGCTTATACTACGACGACACAGCTGACTCAAACTTCCTAGCTCACCATCATTCTGGGTTATATACTCATTGTTTGAAATATTAAGCAAAATTTCTAGCACGATTTAATTTGTTTTGGGTTTTTGCCAACCACGTATAAGTGAAGTTGCGTTAGCTAAGTGTGACATGACTCCACTACCTTGGAGGACTAATTGTGAATCACAGTCTTGGTGAAAGGCTGTAAGAATGTATTACTCTGCTAGAAGGTTCCCTAGACGGCTCTCTCCAGTGTCAAAGTATAAGTGGAGCTCTGCCTTATACTGATTGTTAGAAATAATCAGAGGCACTTTTATATTTTATTCAAGATTATTATAAATTTCTGCAGAAGGTAGATAAATTGTGAAAAATTTTTAAATGTTCTGATTTCTTATTAAAGTTTTTGGAGATCAAAGACAGCTTTCAGCAGGGAATTCCAGGGAGTTAATTTACAGTCACTGGATATGATTGGATCCATCCAACATGATTAAAACTCATCTCCTACACTATTCTTTATGACTTCTCAGTTATCTAAACATGATTTGAAATTCCTGAAAGATCTAAAGGCTTGCATTTTACATGTGGTATCAAAACAATGTGAGAGAAGACAAGAAAATCCCTCTTTTTTACATTAAATCATAGGAAAATATGGCAGAGAACTGTGTCATTTGAAAAAGGACAAGACAGGATGGCCACATTTAATCTAACTTCACACCTCCCTGGATCTGATGAGACAGCAAACATGCTCAAGTTCTTCGTGTGGCCTCCTGGGTCATGAATGTCCTGTACACTTGGCTTCTCCTGTCAACAAAGGGGAGGGATTTGCAGTGCAATTCCTAAACAAACAAAGCAGGTTTTAAGTTCAGATTATGGCTTTCTTTAAAGGGATGTTCCTTTTTCTCATTTCATACTTTCTTTTTACAAAGAGAAGGCTCTCAGTTTCCATTCCAAACATCTTTGTAGATCTCTGAAATCAAAGAATGTCAGAGCAGAAACTTTAAAATTCGTAATGTCCTCTTAGGCTCTCCTTCCACTATCCATCACTCTACCAATTCAAACACAGATACTAACGTTGTCTCCTAGTCACATCTACACATAAGGCACAGCGCCTACACCTCAGACCTCCACATTATGGGTTTGTGTACAATTGCCAAATGACCTGAATTCACAGTGACCAACACCAACTTCTCCCCATTTAGACTTGCCACGACTTGATTCTCATACTTTCAGAAATTCATAAAGATCAGCAGCTGCTGTTAGCATAGTGGCAGAATAACAGAACAATGAGCTCTGGTTTTTCATGAATGCTACCTAACCTTAACTCAGTGGAGGAAGAAATAGCATCTACATCCTTTCTTCCAAATGATGTCACTGCAACCTATTTATAATTACCAAGTCATGCACAAATTTAACTCCATACAGCTAATTTTTACCCTAAGCCTTTAAACATCTTAAACCACTTACCATTGATCTTTTACATTCAAAAAATGAGTATTTCAGAGCTTTGCAGTTTCCCTCCTTCAGACACTGCCGAGGGGACTTTCCTTCCTACAACACACAAAACAATATAAATACTTTGGAAATTTTCTCAGTACAAAATAAATGTCCTTCTAAAAATAGCTCTTTTAAAAATAAGTTAAACAAAAGAATAGTAAATTATATAAGAAATAGTTTTAATTCATTTTGACTGTTGGTGCTTACGGAGAAAAGGACAGAATAAAAAACAAGTAAAATAGTTTGGGGGCCCTGAAAGGTGATCTTGGGTTCTTGAAAACACTGGTTTCCATGGGATACTTTTCTTTAAAATGTTATATAAAAATCTAGACACTATTATCTTCAGCTCCTTATGGGGAAGAAAGGGAAAGAGTAAAGGTGAAAGTAGTAATGGGGTTTCATCAGTGTTTTTAAAACTTTTACACTCAAGAACTCCTAAAGACAGAGAAGAAAGTAGTGTGTGTTGGAGGAGGAAGTGGGCAGAGCACAGCAGGGAGTGGGGGGGAGAGCCCGACAGCTCTGCAGCTGCTTGTATGAGAGGTCAGGCCGCTGTAGTGGTGATTGGGAGGGTTAGTTCTGGAAGGTAGTGTCAAGTGGCTTTAAAGTTTCCGTTATATCCTTTTAATGCAAGCAATTTAACTCCAGAACATCTCTGCATTTTCCCACCCCCTACCCCCAGAGTCAAGTTCTCTCTTCTGAGAAGCTCAACTGAGTAAGAACTGGAAGAGGAAAGGGAGATACGAAATGAACTTACATGCATTTGTGACAGGAGATCTGCTTGGGCCTGATGTGAAATGAACTCATCTTTGAGCAGTGAAAGCTCAAAAGGAGTTTAAGAAGAAAATTGGATTAAACCATTCCCTTTCTGCCATGAAGGCAGGATGCTGCCACAAGAGTGTTCACAGGAGAAATGCTTATTCTGACTCTTACCAAATAAGATTTCTTAAGAACTGTAACCATTAAAAATCAGGCTTCACAAAGTACAACTGTGAAATGAGGCAAGAGCTAAAATTTAGTCGTATTTTTTTTCAAGGTAAAATGAATGGAATGAAAATGCTAACACTACCTCTTCATTATTTTAAAACATTCTGAATATAGTGCCATAAATTTAACTTAACACAACAGCACTGAAAGTAATACTAGCCGCCTGGAAGCGCCGACACAGTCTAGTTCACACTCCAAAGGGGCGAGACTAAAATTGAATGGCAGCGAAATTTGTCTGAACACCCTACTAATCTGTCTAGTAACTAAACCCTTACAAGGACTAATTTATATTAAAAATTCAGAACAGTCCTAGGTCAGTTTGTAGGAGGTTAAAAAATAGCTACTGGATATCCCTGCCGACACAGGGCTTTAACACCAGGGAGGAAAGGGGACGCGTGCAAATAGGAACTGGCAGCATGAGCTCCTCACAGAGCAGGGGGACGTGCCAGAGGCGTCACAGGGAGAGGTACTAAGGGGGCTCGGCTTCCGGGAATGTAAATATATAAAACAACATCTGGAAAAGTGGATAGAACTTGGATTTTTTGAATCACCTGAGGCTTAATGACATCAAACTATGATTTGCAATTCATGAGAAAACAAGGTCAAAATCTTACATTATTACTACTATTAAAGAAACTGCTTATAAACATTAGCCTTATGCAGTGCCTGACAATATAAAGGAAGATCATGAAGTCGTTCTACTCAAGGTGAGTTCCAACGTAAAATCAGTTAAGCAATTCTGAGAATAAAAATGACCCTGTTCAGTGTTAACTTTAAAAGCTCAAACAGCCAGAATTAGGTGCCCTAAAATCAGAAGATTTTTAGTGCTGGTACTAAACACTTTAGATAGATGTTAATGACATAGGCTAGAGTACTACTTAAATAGAAAGATCTGGTGCGTTCATGCACCAGGAAAGATTTAACCCAAATTTCACCTGCTCTTCATCCTCAGGGATCTCCTCTCAAGCAGATTTTGCCACGTCGATCCCACCACTGCAACTGCCTCCCAAACCTCTATTTTGCAAGTGCCAGTCACCCTCCTAGTTTTTACTGTGGAAAAAGCTACAAGGTACCACATCTGGGACATTCCTGATCCCCAGGGATCTTGGCCCCTTTCTGGTCTTTATGTCTGCCTGGGTCCTAGATTTCAACTGCCATCTGCATCAGTGAATCTCAAAAGTGAATCAAAACAGAGCAGTAAGCTGCCTTGCGCTATTGGGTTCCTCCCCCAAACTCTGGAACGAGGAGCTGCTGATGGGGTATGTGTTGTGTTGCCCACATGAACAATAGGAGGAAGATTTTAAAAGACTATAACTATACAAAAGATTATAATTTATAAACTGATGCTTCCTCAAAATGTATCTAAGATGCCATCTTTTTCACACGCTTTAACCCATACTGCCAACTGCATAGTGGGAAGATCCATCTAGATACACTAAACCTAAGAGACAAATGTTAATTCATCTTCCTCTACCTCCACTCCAAATGGCAGACTGCTACTTGTCGCTTAATATCCACTCTTCCTTTTTAAAAACTGGGGCATGGCGCCGGCCCAGGGGCACAGCAGTTAAGTTTGCATGTTCTGCTTTGGCAGCCTGGGGTTTGCCCATTTGGATCCCAGGTGCGGACCTACACAACGCTTGGCAAGCCATGCTGTGGCAGGCGTCCCACATAAAGTAGAGGAAGTTGGGCATGGATGTTAGCTCAGGGCCAGTCTTCCTCAGCAAAAAGAGGAGGATTGGCAGCAGATGTTAGCTCAGGGCTAATCTTCCTCAAAAAAAAAAAGGGGGGGGGGCATATGGCTGGGTTAGACTTTCCAGCCACCCTTGCAGCTGGGTGTGGTCATGTGACTAAGTTCCAGCCAACGGAATATGTGGGGAATCAAAATCTAAAACTTCTGGGTTGGTCCTTAAAGAAAAGTGGCTTGACCCTCTTCCCCACTTTACTCCATCACGTTACTAGGCCCGATGATGTGGAAGCAAGGCAATCTCGGACCACGAGTGTGAGAGTAACATCCTATCTCCCATCACAGTGCCTGAAACCACAACATCCATGGTGTATGGGTCCATGGAAGACGGAGAGGAGCTCCCCCAGGCCCCACTTATAGGCCCAAGAGCAAAAGAAAGAATTCCCTCTCTTGTTTAAGCCACTGTTACTCTGGGCCTCTGTAACATGTACCTGAACTTATAAGCTAACTAATACTCTCCCAAGCTTATCTGCCTTCTGAGGTCAAGATCAGTGATTCCCAAACACACCTGTGCCCAAGAATCAACCTGGGATACTCTTAAATTATTGGGGCGGGGGTGGGAGGTGGGGGGCAGTGGAGTCTGTACTTCTTAAGCTCTCCGCCCCCATCTCCAGGTGATTCTGATGAAGAGTCAGCAGGTCTGGAAGCTGTGAATAGTCACAAAGGAGATACCTTGTGACTGAGGTTCCCTGGGCAGAGTTTCAAGCTTTTTGACCCCCCAGGAGTTATAAAATCCTAAGAGGTCTGTCCAAGAGATGCCTTTTGAATCTCTTCCTTGCTTCTCCTCTCCAGCTGCACTGGAGTTTACCCCCTTATCACCATTACCCTGAGTCTCTCTGAGCCCCTACGCTTTCTTGACTACCTCCCATCCCAGCAGCTAGAACTAAGTATTCGTTTATGTTGCATTCCTCCCCAGAGTGAGGTCCAGCAGCTTTTGAGCTGAGTTAAAAGACTGGCAAGGAGAGACTATAGCATCCACCTGCCAAAAGATCAGATTAACTTCTTTATTCAAGGAGCTAAGGAGTCAAAAATCTTATCAAAAATGAGGTTGTCACACAGAGCAGGCACAGATCTCAGCAGAACTTCCCTTGGTCTTCAGGGTCCCTCTGGGGCACCGTGGGCTGTAGCTGCCAGTAACAGCATCTGAGGAGGTAGGATATTGTCCTGAATCTGCAAAACTCAACGTTTTGTCTCAGTACTGCCCTTTTACACTCCAGCTGAAGTCACAATCCAGGATGCACAAACAGTATGCACTTCCATTTAAGGGACTGTTCATAAACATAAGGTTCTGTTAGTGACCAAATTCAGCATCAATACGGCCACCTACTCAATGAGGGAAAAGCAGAGTTTGTGCCATGTGTCCTGGGCACTCACTCTGCCTACAGCTTTCTGGCTCTTCAGAGAACCAATTTCTACACAGGAACGAATGTGTTCCATTCATCTGTATGTCCTCTAAATTAGGCTTAGCATTCAAATGTTTGCTAAACAAATGAATCAATCATTGCAAGACCAACTTGGTACTCTCCGTGCCACCAGCATCCTCCTCCACTCCCAGAGTTTCTCTCCTCAGTCCTACTCTGTGAACTTTATTCCCTTGATTGCTCACCTCCATGGCCTTCCTGATGCTGAAAGTCAGGATAATATCCAAGCTCCTCACTCTGACAAACAAGAGCCTTCACACATGGCAACCTTCCTCTCGAGCCTTCTGTCAGGTTCCCCTTCCTCCAGGCCCCCATGTCTCCCTCACTCTGCACATGCTCTTTCAGCTTCTCCCAAAACCACCACAGCCCCCACTCCTTTACTCAACCTTTAAGACTCAGATCAAATGTCACCTCCTCTGTAAGAAGTTTCCAAACACTCAAGCAAAATAAGTTGCTCTCCACTGGGCTCCCCAGGCATTCTGCTCCTGCATCTACTCATTAAACAAATATTTACTAAATGCTTACACAGCCCTTATCACTCACAGGAATTTAGCCCCTGTTTACATCTATTCTTCCCATCAGACCAAGCTTATGCAGGCAGCGACTGTAACCGATTCATCTTTCTATCATCAGTGCCTGGCATCACGCCTGCCACGTAATGGGCATTAACTAGGAGCTGGCTGAATATGAAGCAGCAGACTGGAAACAGCCCTGGACAGGGCACCTCGGTGTCCGCATCTGTATAAAGAAGTTGGATGAGATAACCTCTTAAATTCATAACAACTCTGAAGTTTTACTAGACCTGGGAGGCCAGTCCGGCTGGCTGCTAATATCAGTGAACCAAACGTAAATTGTGAATTAGTAGAAACAGTGATATAGCCTCATGGTGGATGTCCACTTTGGGGTAGTTGTCTTTTCTTTGAAATAATAGCAACTTCCTGAAATTACATCTCCAAAAGCAAAAATAACTGTACATAATCGATGGCCCTCTCATCAGGCCTTTGCGATTGGAAACTTGTGCTTCAGTTGGGCTCCAGGACAGAACCCAGGTCTCCAGGCAACTCTGCACCTCAGCGCGTGCCTCAGGGCGTTCAGACGCGCTCCTGAGAAGTCCTGTGGCTGCAGTGAGGGAGGAGTGCAGGGGAAGCAAGAAACAAAATGGTGAAAATACGAGCTGCCTCATTTACACCTTACCCAAGAATGTACAGAACTGCAACTCAGAAACAAATTCAAACCAACACAGGGCAGAGTACACGTTTAGCCACAACTGAACAGGGAAAGGAGAAATTACTAGCCAAGAGTGTACCAGGTTTATGTAATTCTCTGGTAATTCACTCTACAGAGTCTCATTTTCTAGGGACAAGAAACCCATTATTCTCCTTTACATCTCCAGAACCGAGGAGAGCGGCAGCTTTCAATAAACCGAAGTGATTGAGCCGGAGTGGTTTAATCCTTACAGAAAACCCTACGGGGCGGTATCGTTATCTCCAATCTAACACCGGAGGGAACGAAGGCTGCGACTGCAGATCTGCCCAAGTTCCTGAAGTTGGAGCTGTGGCCGACACCTAGGACGGCTAACTGGGTCACGCGTCTCGACGGCCCCCGCGGGCCGACCGCGAGCCCTCCGCCGGGCACCGCCTCCCCGTTTCAGGCCGCGCTACCTTGAGCACACAGTCCGACCGCAGCAGACAGGCGCCCAGGTCCTCCTTCACGCCCGCGCACGCGCCGCCCTCGGGCTTATCCTCGTAATACCGGGGCATGGCTGCGCCCCCCGCCCACGACGCCCCGACTCGTTCACTGCCACAACAGCTGCGACCCGAGCGGTTCGCGGCAGGAGGAAGCGGAAGCCGACAGCAACAACTTCCGGCGGCCCCGCGGCTGACTACCCGGCCCAAGAGGCCGCGCGCGCGGCGGAAGTGGGCGCACGGGGCGCGTCACTCCCCCCGCGCCGGCTACGTTGCGGGAAGGGAAGTTGGCCGGGCCGAGGCGGCGGGTTAGGCTGGCCCGGGGTGGGGGCCGCAGCGGGGTTCCAGGTGAGGCCTGACGACGGCTCCGTGTGCGCGCCGCCCTGGCTCGCCCGCTGCCGTTTCCTCCGGCGACTCGCGGTCCCACGTCACTGGGCCCTGGAGTGACCATGTCCGGGGCCTGCTGCTCGGCCTGCCGTAGGGTTGCCAGATGAAATCAAGGATGCCCGGTTACAGTTGAATTTCAGATAAACAACGAGTAGTGTGTCAGTGAGAGTATGGCCTATGCAGTGTTTCTGACATGCTCATACTGAAAGTTACTCTTGTATCTGAGATTCAAACGTAACCGGGCGTCCTTTGTTTTTATTTGCTAAATCTGGCAACCCTCCCCGCGGCCCCAGGCTGGCGGGGAGCAGCTGGGCCCGGCGAGGCGCTTGCTGGCGTCCCGGAGGCCTGGGCAGTGGAACCGGAGGCCGGGCTGGGCCGCCGGGGCAGGGGGGCCGGGCGGTGACCTGCGCTCGCTTGGCTTCCGACTGGTTCGGCGGCACTCCCCCGCTGTCCTTCCCACTGCTGGACTATTCGGGGAGTAAAACGCTGTGGATTTGAAATTTGCTTTGTTTTTAATATCACATTCTAGTAAACGAGTTGCTTGCTGGTCACGCGCTGATGGACCTGTAGCAATAGGCCATTTATTTTAGCTCGTCGGTAGCATTGTTTCTAATTGGCTCAAACAGACGCTTCCCCTTAAAGGCTTGATGGTTCAGAGCACGGAATTTTGAGCAGGGTGCCTGAGTTTGAGTTTTGACTCCATCACTGTGTGCGCAAGAGGGGGTTTCTTCACCTCCCGGGGCCTCTGTTCCCTTCCTCCCTCCCCAACAGTAGCTACCTGGGAGGGCTGTCTGAGGACTGAGGGAGGTGAAGCGTGAATGTGTGATGATGGCTCAGAAGGGCGTGGGGCTGTCCTTGCCGGAAGTGCAGCTGGCAGTTCTCCAGCCCCCAGAACAAGCCTTAGAAACATCTCCATTCGCGTTTGACCCCTGGCTTTTCTCAAGTATTGGGGCGGAAATGTAAAGTGACCTCCCTCCTAAGTAACTCAGAAGCAGGGTAGTAGCAGCCAACGGTTTCTTCAGGCTACTTGTAAGAGAAGTTTTTTCTTCTATCTAGGAAGATGTTACCGAGTACTTCAGTGAATTCCCCAGCGCATGGGAACGGAGCGCTGAGTTCCCGGGATGCAGCAAGACACACGGCTGGGGCGAAGCGCTACAAATACCTGAGAAGGCTTTTTCGCTTTCGGCAGATGGACTTTGAGTTCGCTGCCTGGCAGATGCTCTACCTGTTCACGTCCCCACAGAGGGTTTATAGAAACTTTCATTATCGAAAGCAGACAAAGGATCAGTGGGCCAGAGATGACCCTGCTTTCCTGGTCCTGTTAAGTATCTGGCTCTGTGGTAAGTGTTAGTTTATCTGCGATAGAGTTGAAGAACAAATTGAGTGTTTCAGGTTGGACTTGTTATTAGGAGACTTTCCTGATAAACGTATCATGGGTCAGAATTTGGGGATATTTGAAGCTATGTCTTCTTTTCTGAAGCCTCAGAAATCTTCTGACAGGAAAGAAGATTGTATTGTTTCTGGTGCTAAATATCCTAAGCAGACACCAGAGTAAACTGTTACCTCGGGACTTTGAAAAGCAGAGGACAGAGTTACTCTTTTGTTGTCCTTTTTTTTTATCTGTGGTGAGGAAGATTGGCCCTGAGCTAACATCTGTGCTGGTCTTCCTCTATTTTATGTGGGATGCCGCCACAGCATAGCCTGATGAGCGGTGCTAGGTCTGCACCCAGGATCCAAACCTGCAAACCCCAGGCTGCTGAAGCAGGGCACGTGAACCCAACCACTACACCACCATGCTGGGCCCAATCGCTCTGTCTTTTAAGTACTATGATAAATAAATCAATACCCAAATGCAAACCTACTGTGAAAAGGAATATCACGATTGGAAACTGCGTGTCACAATCAGGCAAATCCAGAGTGAGGGTTGTAGAAGTACTGACGTGAACTTGAGAAACTACTTGGTTTCTCCACTAGTGTAGTGAAAGGGTCCTAACCACCTTTAAGGTGTTAAAGTGTGTCAGATTTTTTTCATGATTAACTCGACTTAAAAAAATGTTAATGCTTTTTCAGGCTAGTGGTGTTCTGAATGCTGGGGCTGCCCCGGTGACCCACAGAGAGAGAGGGGCCTCGTCAGTAAACCTCAGATATCCTGGTGGCCATTTTGTGTTCCAAGGTGGTCTGCATTTTTTTTTTTCTTTTTGGTGGGAAAGATTTGCCCTGAGCTAACATCTGTTGCCAGTCTTCTTTTTTTCCTCTCCAAAGCCCCAGGGCATAGTTGTATATTCTAGTTGTACGTCCTTCTAGTTCTTCTATGTGAGCCTCCACCACAGGATGGCTACTGACAGATGAGAGGTGTGGTTCTGCACCCGGGAACTCAACCCAGGCTGCTGAAGCAGAGCATGCTGAACTTGAACCACCAGGCCATCAGGGCTGGCTCTACGTTTCTTAATCAGTTACACAGAACACATCTTTGGGGTTTGGTTTACATGTCTGTGTCCCCCACTAGACTGTGGGCATCTGGAGGGCAGGGGCTGTGCCCCATATCCCCAGAACCCGGCAAAGTGCCTGAGTGAATCTCATAAATCTTTTTCAGTGTCCACTGTAGGATTTGGCTTTGTGCTGGACATGGGCTTCTTTGAAACGATCAAGCTGCTTCTTTGGGTTGTATTCATAGATTGTGTAGGCGTGGGTCTTCTCATATCAACTTTAATGTGGTAAGTACCATAATGTGGTTTTTCAGATGCTGCTTTGAGCCTTCATTTGCTTGCTTCAGAAGTATAGTAGCTGATGGAAAGTGAAACAAGATAAATGAATGAAAACATGGGTTTTGACTGCCAAGATTATTATAACTTGTCCTGCTGTGTTGATGCTTGTATCAGAAAGTACTCTAAAGGATGGTCTGGATTGTCAAAGTGCAGCAAATAAGTAAATTGAAGTAATGACTATATCATAATAATAAAATCTCTGATTTTGCAGAAATATTATGCAGTTAGCCAATTCTGCTTCTGTTGTCTGGATCATGACATACTTTGCTGCTGCGTTTGTCAGTGGGTCACTTTTAGGTGTGTAAAATCTAGGGGGTTATTTCGTGGAATCTTTGAATCTTTGGCTTTTAATGAAGTACACTTGAAAAAGGATTTTTTTTTTGTTAAACTTTTGGTGCCTTCCTGCTGAGACACACACACACACACGCAGAGGTTTTACTGGAAGAGTTCTCAGCGGGACTTTGTCTGGGTTTGCTTTAACAACAGTGGTGTACTGAATACAAAGCTCACGTTTGTTTTTCAGTTTTTCGCAGGAACAGTGCTCCTGTGTGGTTGGCGTGCTGGGTGAGGGAATGGATATGGGGAGTGAGCTCAGTCGGGAGCCTGTGGTTGAGTCGTTTTGGTGGTCATTATATATCAGAGAAAACACTATGGAGCATTTTAATCACAGAGAGACCTGGGTTTAGGTGCCAATTCTGTGGAATTCTCAGTCCCAGTCTCCTTTGTAAAATGGAGTTAATTATCTATTTTGTAAGGTCTTTGAGCAGATTGTGCTATGAAAAGCACCTGGCAAATAGTAAGTCCTCAATAAATGGTAGCTATTAATATTTTAAACAAAATTCTGAGACTGTAACCTCTGATAATACCATTTTATTTTCTTTTATGACTTCTGACTAGTACACTTACAGGTTTTGTATGTGCTAAGTAGTCAATAAATGCTATGCATCATTAATCTAAAATTCTGAAATCTGACCTGAAAATAATACTGCTAACTAATGTCACATATTCGTTATCAAAATATCCATGGAAAACATGGTATATGAAAAAATGTTGATAGATAACGCTTTCAGAGAAATAGTTTAGTTTGTATCAACCTGCCATAAATGCTTTGACTGTGGAGAGCTACAGAAACCAAGTCATGCTAGGGTTTAGTAACTTTAGTATGAGTCTGTATCGTAGTTTGACTTAAGTAGAAAAGGACTCAGCGTATTTTTGAGAACGTGCATTGTGTTATGAATTGTGTGAGGACCTAGGAATAGAAATCACGACACACAGTTCTGGTCATCGCAGAGGCACCACAGGAACAGCGTGAGGAGGTGTTCAGGGAGATGGGGTGTTTGATTCCTGGCACCAAGGGAGAGGGCACAGAAGTGCAGAACAGCCTGCTAGGTCTGGGAGTGCAGGGTGGCACTGAGTGGCTGGGAAAGAGATGTGGCTAGAGAAATTGGCCTTAAATGCAATTGAGAAAAAAGAATTGGGCTTTATCTCAGGCTGCATTCATGGGGTGGGGGAGAGTTAGCCAGCTTAGAGGCTTTGAAGTAAGGAAATAGTGTAAAATTCACTTTAGGAAAAGTCTTTTCTATGGCAGTGGAGGAGGAGAAGCTGGAGAAGAGCGGCAAGGCTGGATACCATTGTGGTGGTCTGTGCAAGAGTAGAGAAGGCCCAGGCTGGCGTGGTGATCGTAGGAAGAGAGAGGAGAGAGAGAGATTAGAAGCTGTCTGTGATGACAGGATGTGACGAGGATAGGGACGAGGAGGAGGCCGAGGCCTCCTTTGGGATGGCCTGCAAGTTTTTAGCTTAGGAGTAAGTGGCAGGTGCCGATGAAGCACTCAGTGTCAGACATGTTGAGTCCAGGTGGCTTGTTGAATATTTAGGGGAAGTAATGGTTCAGTAGACATTGGGGTAGATGACAGTGAACCTGCAGCAGTCTGGGCCAAGACGACTACATGCCTGGCATCATTACTATGGAGGTCGGAGGTGAAAACCGCAGTTGTCTCGAACTCCCTCAGAAGAATGTCTCTGTTCTAGAGG